ATCGAATCAATCAGCTTATATTTCTGCAGGGTTGGATTTAGCAATCTACCACCCTTGTTCCAAAATCAACACAAACGTTATAAATGATTTCTTGGATAAATTTATCAAATGTTATCTTGTTACAAATGTAAGGAAACCATAATTAAATACACCTTTAAAAATGTTGATGTTATAAAATAAAAGAAAAAATTGATATTTTTTCTACAAAATTATTATTCTATACAATTTTGCTGCATCTCCAAAAATAAAAATTTTTTTTTTTATATTTTACAACATCAATAATGTGTATGACAATACACGAGTATTGACTATGACGAACTATAAATATATAAATTAAATTTAAAAAGTTATGTTCGAACTCAATTATATAGCGCAAATGAGCAAAGTGTGCGTATGTCATGAAAAATAATTATGATAAATTATAGTAGGCCTATTCATTAGACCAGTGGTCTTCAACCTTTTTCAACCCCCGACCCACTTTTCTTATCAAACATTTTTCGCGACCCATGTCAACTTCGTTAGCCATGAAAACCAAATAAATAAGTTAAAATTACTTAATGTATGTCATTGTAGAATTGCTTTTATAACTGAATAAATTAATATATATATATATATATTAGGTATCTAGGTAATACATAGTTTTTGTGATAAGTAATGTACCGAAAAAGTATGTTATAATACACAAAAGAAATTAGGGCGATATTTGTCCCGGACTGTTTCCACACGATATACCTCCACAGCTCAATTTCACACAAATTAATCGATTTAACAAGTTAATATATATATATATATATGAAAAGTAAATGAGTTTTATGTATAAATTCGGGCTATCGCTATACGATTACTTAATTTGATTGTTCATTCTTTTTTTTTTTTTTTTTGAAAATGAAGGATTCAACAGCAGATATTATTAGCTATTAGATGTTACATATTAGATGTATTAGGTGTTAGATTTAAAATTACAATATTTCATATGACATATTGTATAGGTGAAGTTAGGTGTATAATTAAGATTTAATAATAATATTTGTGATAGGTATTTAAGAATGTGACAATTTTCAGAGTTTGTTTTTCGCAAGTACTTTTACCATATTGGATGGCATGTCCAGGTCGGTGCGTATTAAGATATATTGTGTACACTCCTCCACTACGTGATCGTCAGTTAATGATTAGTGGCATGTGTCACATATTGGTTTTTGGTTTTTTTTCTAATTAGGTATGAGTGTATAAGAAAAAAGTGTTCATTCTAATCTTCTACAAATTTAAAATAGTATAAATAGTACGGTTTCGGATTTATTCGAAAACATTTTTATGCAATATCCTATGACATACATTATATAATATATATGAATATGAATTTTCTAAATATTAAACAGAAAACTTATCGTGACCTAATCTTAAAGCTTACGCGACCCACCGGTTGAAGACCACTTCATTAGACTATAGTTAGCCGGACCGTTGTTACACCCATGGAAACATAATAATAGTTTACTCGTAACATAACGAGTATTGGCAATATATTCAAAAATTATCCATGGTCAAAATTTATCGTATAGGTTTTTTGTTGTTTGATGCGATGGAAATTCCAACATGGAACACGAATTATAAAAACATGTGTTCGTCGATAAAATGAAACCAATCTAAGAATGGTCTGTCTATTTGCTGTCGATTAGAACACCTCGTTATCATTTTTGTAGTTATATTATATAGTAAAAAATATATGTTAAGTAATGTTTTTGAGTATCAATAATTTTACTATAGAATCTTATTAGTAGTGCTATTAAATTTATATCATTGTCTTTAGATTTACGATGAGATCCATTTACACATTCATAATAAACATGCTCTTCAATGAAAAACGGACAGCCTATGAATTTAATTGGCAATAATTCACGTTCAAGTGAAAATCTGTTCTTACAATTTTTTTCTGTTCACATATTTTATTATTAATGTTTCATATTTTTAAATTATTTCAACCGTTATTTGCAAATATATACACATTTTTTATTAATTACCTTCGTATTTTATTGATTTAGCTACAACGAAACCAAAACCTAATTACAATAGATTTGTTGCGGTGCATCCGAATTGCATACCAAAAAAATAAACATAAAATAGAATGTCCGAATTGCATGCCATCTCTTATTGGGGTCTGTCCGAATTGCATGTCGTGTACCCCAAGTTTATTAATCATCCACTTATGTGTACAACTTAAACTTTATTTTTGACTTTTCTAATTTATTAAAAATACTGATGAATAGAAACCGATTAGTTTCTAGATTGAAATATTTTAATATCCCAGTACACATTTTAACAAATTGGAGAAGGTGACACTATGAATATTAAACATTAAATAAATCGATTGTAGTTTAGGGTAATCAAGTGAATGTATTTTACATTTTTACATGGATTTAAAAAACGTAAAATATTTACTCGGATATAAAAAATATTTAAAATGTAGAAACTTATCATTTGGAACAACCATATCATAAAGAGTTTAAGTAAAAATAAAGTTTAAGTTGTACACATAAGTGCATGATAAATAAACTTATGGTTACCCTCTAAGATACATCTTTAAGACGTGGCATACAATTCAGACAAGCTCCTCTAAGACGTATCAAGCAATTCGGACAAACCCCTTTAAGACATAGCATGGAATTTGGACAGAGATGGCATACAATTCGGACCTTTTTATTTTTTTGCATGCAATTCGAATGCAACCATTTATTGAGAATGACTTAAAATCATTTGTTTCCCTTTGAATGGAAGTTTTATTAACTATAGATGATTTTTCTAAAACTTTTTCAAGAAACATAAAATACTCAGTGCCGTCCATTTCAATAAAAATAATAAAAAAAAATGATTTGAACCGTTTAAAAAAATCTTAGCTTATATAAGTTGGGGACTAAAAGGAATATATATATATATATATATTAATAATGGAATATTCCATTCGTATTATATAAACCTCACTAACTCATAAACTACAAAATTGAACAAACATTGGAAACACTGCATATAAGTGGTTAAAGATAATAATAAAGATAAAAATAATATGTACAATACAATTTTACTGTCAAAATAATTGGAGGTAAATTCCTTCTACACATTATCTCTTCCTAGTTTATTTAGTCATCTGTTCGGTATCTAAATGAGAATTTGGTGCCAAATTAATGTTCTTGAATAAAAACGTACAATATTTAATTATGTAATTAAAAAAAGTTAGTGATTTTCAAACAATTGGATAATTTTTAAAATATTTAATAAATATTTATTTTTAGAATATTATTGATTACTAGGGGGCGGATTTTTTTGTAATAAAAATGTCAAAATATGTAAATATTTATGTCTTTATTTTTACCAAAATATGTATTAACTCTTTGAGGGGCGAAAATTTTCTTTGGAAAAAATATCCATTTGGGCAATATGTGTAAAAATTAATTTTTTTAAATTTTTTTTTTTTAAATGCTTTTAGTCTGGTATTTAACTAAAATATTGTTGACTAAATTTTTTTTGAGTTAGCAGTTTTTCCGGAAAAACTTGGGAAAAGGTGGTTTTTATAGTGACCACTACTAAAATAAAAGGCTTTTTTGAATAAAATGTTACAAAATCCAAAATTATACTTAGTAACTTTAATAACAAATTAGGTATATGAGTACCATAAGAAGGATATAAGAAAATATTTGAATTCTCCAACTAACCGAGAACTAGAATATTGTATATTTGGCAAAATATATTATATGGTGATTTATCTTCAAGCTCTTCAAAAATTTCAGCTAGTCCACAAGGCAAATCGTCAGAAAATAATTCAACTGGAGGCATTAATTCTGATTTTCCCCATAAAGGAGGTGTATATGGAGGTTCAAATGATGGTACTGCTTGTTGGATTGGCTTACTAATTGTTTTAGAAGATCTAGAGGTTCTAGGGTTAGCCTAATTCAATATAAAATATGTTTGTGAATGGTATATATACTATGCTACCATAATATAATATGTAATCATTGACATTTATAGTATACAACATGTACTTACTATGTACCTATGTAGTTCAAAAAAAGTTTATTTCTTAATTATGTCATTTAAAAAATAGGAATATAACACAATACACATATTATATAGTCAACATTAAATATAAATTGGTACATAGTAAGTATTATGTAGTATATTGTAACTGTAGAGGATTACACATATTATATGCACATATATTTATACATCATAATAGAAACATATAATAATATTGTAGATACTTAGCAAATATTTGTAATAAAAATACTAACTGGGGGTGTAGGTAATTGATTATGATAACGCTCCTCATCATTTGAATCACTTGAACTAGCTGATATGTCATGTAATATAGTGTTACTTGGAGTATATGTTTTATCATTATCACTATCATCTAATTCAGAAACACCAGAGAAACTTTCACCATCACTAGGTATATCAAGCAGGAAATTTTCAATGTCATCATCATTTATAATATTCATCTACAAAATATGTTGACTAATTTATACTAATATATTATACTACCTAATAATAGAAACCACATTTACAACAAACCAATAATGAACCTAATTAAAGTTATTTACTTACCGTTATCGTGTAAATAGTTCTAATTACTACTATTAATAGAGTATTTAATAAAACAATTAAAATTGGATATCTTAATTTTGATTTTTAATCAATATCTCTTTAGCAAAAAATTTAATACGTATATCAAAATTTTGATAATGATAATAAATGATTAAAAACGCGGGAAATGATATCAGACCAGTGGCAGTGATATTGTTTGATATATGTATGAGCTGATAATAAGGTGGTTAATTTAGTAACCACCGCACTTGAAAGGTAAAAAAAAGTGGTTAGCATACTAACCACTGACCCTCAAAGAGTTAAAGAACGTGAAATATTTAATAAATAAATCGGTATTTTACATTAATTTTTAATTATTAATTAATAATTCATCTAATCATCTTCATTGTTGTCTTCTTCAAAATAATTGGATACAAAGTACATTTGGAGATTTTAAAATCTTAGTATACGACGGTTAAGTTTCAAAGTCGACTCGTAGCGGCTGAAAGTGCATTCAACGTTGACCGAGGTTAATGGGACATATTTCATACAACATATGTCGTATAGTTCTACTTCAATATTATTTGACGTATTTTCATTTTATTCATGAGAATCTATATATAGTTTTAATTTTTTTGTAAACCATTGTAATGACCGAGTACGTAGTTAAATTTATTTTTTATTATAACTCCGAATTCTCCTTGAACTTCATTTAATATGATTTATTTGATTTCTGCATTTTCCACTTTCGCAAGACTTTCAATTATTTTTAGATTTAATGTTTCTAATTTTTATTACTTTAACCAAAAAACAAAAATTTGTAGATATATATATATATTTAAATGATTTTTCAGGTCATTATATTACATAGTACGTATATCAGAAGCTTGTGTAATAACAATTGCAATATCTGAATCAATATTTGAAATAATTTCTTTAATTTAATCTCAAAATAATAATTTTAATACAAATAAAAACTGTATAAGTGTGAAAATGTGAAACATTTACGAAATATGTAAATATGTATTTACAGCAAAATATGTACAGTAAATAATATTTATAAGGTGCTTACAAATTAAAATTGAATAAATAACAAATGGATAGACGCTCAATTGTGCCACCCGGAAAGTTGATTTGGTGAACTAGACTATGTCTTCAGGGCTAATCTAACCATTATTTTTTTTCTGTCTGTTGGAATATCGAATGAAATTATTTTTTGATACCTGATTTGTAGTTTAGATTTTGAAGATTTTTTTAGGAATAATTATAATATACCAAGTAGCCTAGATTATTCGACAAAGACATATGCATATTTTAATAATTAAAATATTATTAATAATATTAATATTAATATTATAATTTAATATTATTAATTATTAATTATTAATAATAATGCTTTCCAATAAAACTTTTTTATTATTTAAATATAAGCAAATTATTGTCGATTTAAAAATAAATAAATGGTAGTACAATGTATAATATTAATATTTGCCTTGCACTTCTCCTAATAAGTGCTTATGCCTTCCAAGGGAGGTCTGAGAACCGCTGTTCTAATATTTAATTAGAGCTTCGTGTACTTTATTATTAATTTTGGGAAGTAGTGGGTGTTTTTAAGTTATAGTATAACATACATTTTTTCAAATATATGAAATATCATGAGTCAGTAAGTGTATACCGATTCATTAAGTATAAAGTGATTTTATAATTAATTTAAAGAGCATTTTATTTTTATTGCATTTTAACATTTTTTCAATTAATAATTATACTTACTGATTGATATTTAATTGATCTGATTTATGATAATGTACGAACAAAATATTTCTTGTAGAACATTGTTTTCCACGTTTAAGACCAATTTGAATTTACACATTTTATTCGAACTACCCATGATTTAAAATTATTTTATTTTGATTCATATTAAAATTTAAGTTTAAAATTGTTTATCCACCATTAATTGTCTGTCATTCTAGATAGTCATTATAATACATTCCATATTAAATTAAAATAACTTTAGAAGAATATTAAATAATAAACAACCGGCAAATTTCTTTAAATTAATCCTTACAACTATAGATAACTAATTAAAATTATATGTTATAACTAGAGTTAGGATGTTGATGACCTAAAAAATACACAAAAATGCCCTAAAAACTTAAAAAATTATCTCAAAAATGGTCTAAAAAACTAATTAAGTAAGTGAAAAAAATGTATTTATAATAATAATTTTTATAAAAGATATTAGTGTGATAATGGATGTAATAATAATTTAAAATATGAATTATAAATTATAATATTAATAAACAATAGCATACATTTACATTTTAAGCATTATATAAAATTATTAACACTTGCTCTAAAATCTAAAATTTAAGAAAAATGCCCCACATTGTACAAAAACTACAAAAAAATGACCTAAAAGATGAAAAAATGACTTAAAAATGTTGAAAAATTACGTTAAAAAACAAAAAAAATGGATTTATAGCTAAAAATTCCTAAAAATGAAAATAAAAAAATGCAAAATAAAATTAAAATATTCTGCATCAAGGGAGCATGAAACAAATATTTAGATAGGATAGCATTGTATAGAATCAAAGGAAAAAAATGCAAAAGTCATCAACATCCTAACTCTAGTTATAACTAGAAGTATATTTGATCATTTATGAATACAAATTCGATGAGTATTGATGAAAACTTAGTTAAAAATATGAGTTTAAGTGTTGATAAGTACTCTATTTAATTTTCATTATTTATAGATGACATAGGATTCAGCGATAATTTAATGACAAAAAAATACTAAAACCTTCAATAAAATATCTACAAACTCTGTTGATGAATTATCCCTGTAGTTCTTACAATGAAAACTTATTCTAAATCTCTCAAAAAGTGAACGAAGATATTTACTCTTAAAAAATGTACACATCTAATATTAAATAAATAAACGAGAAATTAAGTGAAATAGGAAGGACAACTCAGTGAGGTATTTAGGGTTACATCAATTTTAAATTCACAAGAGCTGTTAATTTAAATTTATATTTATAAATAAACAAATATGTTATCGTGATTTTTTTTCATTCTTCAAGGGAACAATATCAATTGAAGAAATACGAATTCTGGTTTTCCTTCAGTGTGATTTATGTTTGTTGTGATTCAGCTACTATATTTTATTGCCAAACCGGTTTGTTTTTACAAAAAATTAAAAATATACCTAATACAAAAAACAAAGCAGAAAATTTGAATGGGTGAACGGAGTACTACATTACGAAAAACGAACTGTATAAATACCGATAACCGTATAGAAAACGACATCAGTGTAATCTGTAGTCAGTACATCGACACCTTAAAGAATTAATTTTATTTCTCGAGTTCTTCTGAATTCAAATCAAACACCATTATGTACAAATTTTTGGTAAGCACCATATGTTGTAAATATTTAAATTTTATTAGAAATTTATGATAAAAGTTATATACAATTCGTTAATTACAATCCCATTCACCAAATTTTATTCACGTACAAATTTCAGATAAAACATTAATTTAACTGTACCCACCTTAACTGTCTACTAAAACTAATAATTTTCAATTTCCTCATTAGTATTTTTTTCTCTTTTCACTCCAAAGTATTACCTCGATATTATAGAACTCTACGATTACGGTTTATTGTTTTTTTTTTTCTAAGTACTTTTAAATATATATATTATTATTTACTATTTATTTATATTAATGAGGGTGATCCTTATTTTTTAACTTACGAACTTTTTATTTCGTACACTTCATTTTATTAATTATTATAAAAAAGTAATCTGGGTTAAAATTAGTCATTATTATTCACCACTTCACATGCCCCATAAATATTGAAAAAATTGCAAAATAGGGCTGGTTTGTAGTCTTATAAGTATAATTAATAAACTATTGAACTTATCGTACAAATGTACATAACTTAAATTATATAATCTTATATTTTTAATAAAAAAAAACATATTTCTACAATTTTTTATGCATTTATTATTTTCTATTAAAAATTAAAAAATATAGAATATGTCATTTATTTAAAAAAATGAACTTTTTATGGTTATTTAAGTATATCAGAATAACGGTTAGTGATGCTACAAAATATCTAGCATATGAATAACAGAAAATTAAATTTTCTAAAAAAAAGTTTACAAGTGTAAATTGCATTAATTTTATTTTATTTCGAAAGCCTCACACACACACACATATATGTGTGTGTGTGTGTGTGTATTAAACTTGATATCTAATTAAAGTTATAGTTTTTAATGATATTTTTCAATTTATTAAAAACTGAACACGCAATACTCTATGTAGAGTATTAATACTTA